AGCCTGAATTGTGGCATCACGGGTGTGTTGACCGACTCGTTCCTTTTCCAAAATGAGAAAAAATGATTTCAAAATTTCTATACTTTAAAGAAAATTTTAAAAAGGACGACTACTTACAATTTTCTTGCCAACTTTCTTCAACCAACCGGCTTCACCTTGACCCACAAATACGGCCAACATCAAGGCACAGAATAGGAATATTTTATGAAATTGCATTTTGAAATTTGTGTATAAAATCCGCAACGAATAGGATGGAAAAGTTGAACTCTTTAGTTTTGGTGGGAAATGCAAACTGATGCCGTGTGTAGTAAAACCTTTGGTTTATATATTTTTGTACAAAGATTTTGTGTGAATCATATAAGCCACTAGCTTTAATTGCTGTTGAGGTTAGGTGGTTGCCCTGATTGGTTTAGAATTAAAAAATCAATTGATATGCATGTTGTGTGCGAGAGTATTTTTTTTTTTTTTTGAAATGGGGGAAATTACTATGGGAAATGTAAATTTTATTTTCAAAGAAAAATATTACAATAGAAAAAATACTTGTGTGGGTTTTATTTGCCCTATGGTGATTTTTGTATTCCGAAACATCTGAAAACCCAATGATTTAGTTATTATTATTGCAATATGGAATATCAGATCCATAGGCTTAGATTTCTTAAGAATATTTATTGAAGGATACCCAAAGTATCAGGTGGATTTATTATGGATATTTATTGGATAAACGCAGAGCAATAGGCGTGGATTTATAAAGAATATTTTTAGGAGGATCATCAGAGCAATAGGCGTGGATTTATAAAGAATATTTTTAGGAGGATCATCAGACCAACAGGCGTGGATTTATAAAGAATATTTTTAGGAGGATCATCAGAGCAATAGGCGTGAATTTATAAAGAATATTTTTAGGAGGATCATCAGAGCAATAGGCGTGAATTTATAAAGAATATTTTTAGGATTAGAGCAATAGGCGTGGATTTATAAAGAATATTTTTAGGAGGATCATCAGAGCAATAGGCGTGGATTTATAAAGAATATTTTTAGGAGGATCATCAGAGCAATAGGCGTGGATTTATAAAGAATATTTTTAGGAGGATCATCAGAGCAATAGGCGTGGATTTATAAAGAATATTTTTAGGAGGATCTTCAGAGCAATAGGCGTGGATTTATAAAGAATATTTTTAGGAGGATCATCAGAGCAATAGGCGTGGATTTATAAAGAATATTTTTAGGAGGATCATCAGAGCAATAGGCGTGGATTTATAAAGAATATTTTTAGGAGGATCATCAGAGCAATAGGCGTGGATTTATAAAGAATATTTTTAGGAGGATCATCAGAGCAATAGGCGTGGATTTATAAAGAATATTTTTAGGAGGATCATCAGAGCAATAGGCGTGGATTTATAAAGAATATTTTTAGGAGGATCATCAGAGCAATAGGCGTGGATTTATAAAGAATATTTTTAGGAGGATCATCAGAGCAATAGGCGTGGATTTATAAAGAATATTTTTAGGAGGATCATCAGAGCAATAGGCGTGGATTTATAAAGAATATTTTTAGGAGGATCATCAGAGCAATAGGCGTGGATTTATAAAGAATATTTTTAGGAGGATCATCAGAGCAATAGGCGTGGATTTATAAAGAATATTTTTAGGAGGATCATCAGAGCAATAGGCGTGGATTTATAAAGAATATTTTTAGGAGGATCATCAGAGCAATAGGCGTGGATTTATAAAGAATATTTTTAGGAGGATCATCAGAGCAATAGGCGTGGATTTATAAAGAATATTTTTAGGAGGATCATCAGAGCAATAGACGTGAATTTATAAAGAATATTTTTAGGAGGATCATCAGAGCAATAGGCGTGGATTTATAAAGAATATTTTTAGGAGGATCATCAGAGCAACAGGCGTGGATTTATAAAGAATATTTTTAGGAGGATCATCAGAGCAATAGGCGTGAATTTATAAAGAATATTTTTAGGAGGATCATCAGAGCAATAGGCGTGGATTTATAAAGAATATTTTTAGGAGGATCATCAGAGCAATAGGCGTGAATTTATAAAGAATATTTTTAGGATTAGAGCAATAGGCGTGGATTTATAAAGAATATTTTTAGGAGGATCATCAGAGCAATAGGCGTGAATTTATAAAGAATATTTTTAGGATTAGAGCAATAGGCGTGAATTTATAAAGAATATTTTTAGGATTAGAGCAATAGGCGTGGATTTATAAAGAATATTTTTAGGAGGATCATCAGAGCAATAGGCGTGGATTTATAAAGAATATTTTTAGGAGGATCATCAGAGCAATAGGCGTGGATTTATAAAGAATATTTTTAGGAGGATCATCAGAGCAATAGGCGTGGATTTATAAAGAATATTTTTAGGAGGATCATCAGAGCAATAGGCGTGGATTTATAAAGAATATTTTTAGGAGGATCATCAGAGCAATAGGCGTGGATTTATAAAGAATATTTTTAGGAGGATCATCAGAGCAATAGGCGTGGATTTATAAAGAATATTTTTAGGAGGATCATCAGAGCAATAGGCGTGGATTTATAAAGAATATTTTTAGGAGGATCATCAGAGCAATAGGCGTGGATTTATAAAGAATATTTTTAGGAGGATCATCAGAGCAATAGGCGTGGATTTATAAAGAATATTTTTAGGAGGATCATCAGAGCAATAGGCGTGGATTTATAAAGAATATTTTTAGGAGGATCATCAGAGCAATAGGCGTGGATTTATAAAGAATATTTTTAGGAGGATCATCAGAGCAATAGGCGTGGATTTATAAAGAATATTTTTAGGAGGATCATCAGAGCAATAGGCGTGGATTTATAAAGAATATTTTTAGGAGGATCATCAGAGCAATAGGCGTGGATTTATAAAGAATATTTTTAGGAGGATCATCAGAGCAATAGGCGTGGATTTATAAAGAATATTTTTAGGAGGATCATCAGAGCAATAGGCGTGGATTTATAAAGAATATTTTTAGGAGGATCATCAGAGCAATAGGCGTGGATTTATAAAGAATATTTTTAGGAGGATCATCAGAGCAATAGGCGTGGATTTATAAAGAATATTTTTAGGAGGATCATCAGAGCAATAGGCGTGGATTTATAAAGAATATTTTTAGGAGGATCATCAGAGCAATAGGCGTGGATTTATAAAGAATATTTTTAGGAGGATCATCAGAGCAATAGGCGTGGATTTATAAAGAATATTTTTAGGAGGATCATCAGAGCAATAGGCGTGGATTTATAAAGAATATTTTTAGGAGGATCATCAGAGCAGTAGGCGTGGATTTATAAAGAATATTTTTAGGAGGATCATCAGAGCAAGAATATTTTTAGGAGGATCATCAGAGCAATAGGCGTGGATTTATAAAGAATATTTTTGGAAGGATCATCAGAGCAATAGGCGTGGATTTATAAAGAATATTTTTGGAAGGATCATCAGAGCAATAGGCGTGGATTTATAAAGAATATTTTTGGAAGGATCATCAGAGCAATAGGCGTGGATTTATAAAGAATATTTTTGGAAGGATCATCAGAGCAATAGGCGTGGATTTATAAAGAATATTTTTGGAAGGATCATCAGAGCAATAGGCGTGGATTTATAAAGAATATTTTTGGAAGGATCATCAGAGCAATAGGCGTGGATTTATAAAGAATATTTTTGGAAGGATCATCAGAGCAATAGGCGTGGATTTATAAAGAATATTTTTGGAAGGATCATCAGAGCAATAGGCGTGGATTTATAAAGAATATTTTTGGAAGGATCATCAGAGCAATAGGCGTGGATTTATAAAGAATATTTTTGGAAGGATCATCAGAGCAATAGGCGTGGATTTATAAAGAATATTTTTGGAAGGATCATCAGAGCAATAGGCGTGGATTTATAAAGAATATTTTTGGAAGGATCATCAGAGCAATAGGCGTGGATTTATAAAGAATATTTTTGGAAGGATCATCAGAGCAATAGGCGTGGATTTATAAAGAATATTTTTGGAAGGATTATCAGAGCAATAGGCGTGGATTTAGAAGGAATATTTTTGGAAGGATTATCAGAGCAATAAGCGTGGATTTAGAAGGAATATTTTTGGAAGGATTATCAGAGCAATAGGCGTGGATTTATAAAGAAAATTTTTAGATTTTTAAGAGTTTTGTAGACTTTTTTGAGAATATTTTGGAAGGTCCATCATACTGTTAACCGTGGAATTAAGCTTTTTTTCCAAAGCATGATATTTTAAACGGAAAATTGAAGGTATATTAGAGTCAAAGGCATCGTTTTTTTTAAGAATCAGTTTAATATAATAAGCATATAATTAATTGTGAAGTTTTGAAGAATATTTGTGTGGGAACTACCATATCCTTAAACGCTTCCCACATATTGATAATACATTCCCCACATAGTTGGTCAAAAAAATCAAAATCTATTTTTGGGTTCATATAAAATGTCAAATGAAACTGATAACACCAATTAAAAAAATATACTTCCCCTATTATACGAATAAATTTATGGCAATAATCGATTACACGCTAAGCAAATGAGTAAAAACAAAACAATAAATTCCCCCGCAATTCGAAAAACCACACACTTTGCAAAAAAAAAAAAAAATAAACGTACATGACCATACCTAATTATATTCCCTGTTTTATTTTTTTTTCACTTTTGTTTTTAAACAAGACCTTGTTATGAATCACAAACAGACATTTAAGTCAGCAGCTACGTTCAGTTGTACTTCCGTCATTAGCTTTCTAATGCAAATAGAAAGAAATAAATTATTGTAAAATTTAAAGACGAAAAAAAAAACAAAAAAGCTATGAAGAAATTCAATACAGTCCCTATTTTTGTTGCCTTGCTATTGGCTGTTTTTGTGGGTCAAGGTGAAGCTGGATGGTTAAAGAAAATTGGCAAGAAAATTGTAGGTTCCGAATTTTACGAAATGTCTGTGGGGATTGTTATTGTTGGTGTTATTATTTTTTTTTTAATTTACAGGAACGTATTGGCCAACATACCCGTGATGCCACAATTCAGGGCCTTGGTGTAGCCCAGCAAGCGGCCAATGTAGTGGCAACTGCTAAAGGAAAATAATTTAATGTTTTCCCCATTGTTATTTTATTAAATAATATATTATAATAATAGAAATTTAACATAATTTGACAATAATATTTTTGAAGGACTATCCAACCATTAAGCGTGGATTTAAAAAGAATATATTTTGATGAGCATGGATTTTAAAAATATTTCTTTTATATTTTAAAGAATATTTTTTGCAAGACTACCAGAACAATAAACGTGGATTTTTTCAGAACATTTATAGAGAAAGGCCAGAGCAATGTACGTGATTTTTTAACAATATTATGAAGGAATTCCAAATCTATTAAAGGGTGATCTGTGAAAAATAATTTTTGGGAAGTTTTGAAGAGAACTGCAGGAGAAATGATAAATAAATAATCATTTTTAAGTAATATATTTTTAAATGGCTTTGGTGGAACAAAGGCTACATACGTCGATTTTTATGCATTTTTTGGAGGACCAATAATAGTTATAGACAAAAGGAAGAAAATTTTCTTATTATAGAAGGAGGTTACACAAATATTTGTCATACAAAAAACTTTGCATAGAAGTCTTCATGGATAGAGGGGTTTTCTTCGATTAAGTAGAATGTGGCTTTTCGTTTCGAGAAAAAAAATAGTTTAAAGTTTGAGAAGCACTTCTGCCGTCGCTTGATACTGACACAATAAATCAGCTATATCTTCCACAATTATTGAGATTTTCACTTGTGTATTTAATGTAAATATAGTCTTTGATGATATATTTTGTCATACAAGGATAGATTTGCTTCTGTTCTGCCTACTGTCATTGTATTGGTCACATATGTCGTCTTGTTCCGATCTAATTTTTGCAAAAAATGTCCTCATTTTTTCGTACAGTGTACAATGGAACCAAAACCACTTTTTGAACGTCTATTATTGAACATCAGTCAGACAGAATTTAATAATCATTCTTTAATTTGAACAGTTTAAAATATTTTTAAAAGATTTGATCCTTTGCGCTATTTTTAATTTATAAATTTGTAAAACATTATGGAGCAATAAGCCAAGATTTCTTACAAATACTTTCTTTTGTCTATATATAAAATTATTATAGAGGCAATTATTATTGTGAAGCAAAAGGAATATCCAATTGTTTCAAAACTTTGCACTTCGTAATATGTTAAACCCACCCAGATTTTATCCAAAAAAAAATGAGACCCGTCGGTCTCATGAAAATGATCAAAATTTGACTAAAAATTAATTTTATATCACGCGAACGGACTATCAGATTTTTAACTTTGCACAAGAAAATATTTTATAAAAGAGTGCATAATGCTGAATGATGAGAAGTTTCGCTTCACTCCTTCTAGTTCCTCCCCCACCAAGGTTTGAAATTTTGAAAGATATACACCTCATATGAAGCAAACGGAATATCCAATTTCATACGGTACTTAGATAAAATATGAAGTTGAGATCCGTGATTGACGCCTTCTGTAGCTCCCTCACAGTGTCAAAAATTTAGATCCGTTTTCATCCGAACTATGCAAATTGTAATGTTTTTACCATTGTTTGGTACCTCCCTATAAACATAAAAATCCTGTGTGTAATTTCGTAGAACTCCGCAAAACATAGGCGTAGGGTACATATCGGTCGGCAACATCGACTGACACTTTTTACTTGTTTATACATTGAACAAATCTGAAACTTTTCTTAAATAAAACGGGATTCTACAGGTATATTATTTGGGAGTGGAAAATATAAATACATGTTTAAATTATTAAAATGCGTTTAGGCTAAAAATTCTATTAAAAAAACGAATGAATGTTTTGATTTTGATTTTTATATTTTCTAAATTAAGCCAAAAAAATATTTTGATACATTTTTATCCTATTTTAAAATAACTCAGTATTGTTTTATGTATACAACTATTTAGTTTATTACAATATTTTAATAATTTACTTAATATTAATTTACAAATAATTATGTTAGCAGTTTAATTTTTAAAAATAATCTATTCATTTCCCCTTCAATGTTGCAGCTACATTTGCCGCTTGCTGGGCAATGCCAATAGTTTGAATGGTAGCATCACGGGTATGTTGTCCAACACGTTCCTATAAATATTATTAAAAACAATTTGTTTCCATACTCTACATTTGAAATAAGTTACTTTTTTCTACTTACAATTTTCTTGCCAATCTTTTTCAACCACCCGGCTTCACTCTGGCCAACAAAGATAGCCAAAACGAAAGCAACGAAGACAAATAATTTTTTAAAATTCATTATGATTTGTTGCTATTAAATAGCTGGTGGTGGTGTGTTGTGTTTAAGCTTTAATTTTGCTCTAGGTTCGATAACAAACTGATGACGAACTCAATACCAAGCAAAGCTTTTATACCCAACATTTATTCGAATAAGTACTTTTTGATGATACACGTTGTCTTTGTTTCTTTTCTGCTGAATAAGGAACACACTAACAGAGGGGAATCACTTTGTGATATGTCTACGAGAATGCGTGTATTACCCACAAAGAGGTTCGTGATCTATGGCTTTAGAGACTGTTGCTGTTTGCTTTCTTTTTGTGTCAGAAGCATTTTGAGAAAACTAAAATTAAAAAATTATTATGTTGCCATATACAAAAACTTAATTATATTTCTTTTAAAACATGATAGTAAGTGTTCTCGTCGCAGATTTTAAGTAACACGTGATATTTGCAAGAATTGTATGCTTCTGAAAACTTTACATAAAATATTGACTAATAGGATCCGACCTTCCTGTCAGCTATGTTAAATAGTTGTTATTTTTGGCATGAAAGTACCTCAACCCACACTGATATTTTACCTGTGCAGCTATTGAAGGTTATTTTTGGGATGATATGTCTTCAGTCAAATCGAATGAAGCATATTTTGGAAAAACAAATTATCCTTCTATCTCGAGTCCATGCACATCTATTTCATCCTTATTTTTTGAACCGTAAATTAAATAGGGGAGACTGGGGCACCTTCGGCAATCGCGTTTTCGATATGAAGCTCTCACCGTACGTCACTAGTTTCGTACATTGGTATCGAAATAAATAACTGACACAAATTTGAAATTTCTAGCTAATAAGGTTTTTGTATTTTTATAGATGTTTCTGTAATATTTCAATTCCATTTCGTAAGTATTTCGTGATACAACTTTTAAAATTGTTAAGGCAATATTATTAAAAAGTGGTTAACTACGATGTGTATTATTATAAAAATATTTAAAAATATAATGTTTTTACAAATTTGATCGAAAACATGAAAAAAAAAACTATAAAAAGTACATTCGGGGTACATTCGGCATTTTAAAGTGGGGCACATTCGGCCATATACAGATTGTGCAATATTATTTCCCTAAAATATTTTTGAGTTTGTCTTTAAAACTAATCCTTTAATATGGCTCGAAATTGCATATATAAGATCAAACGTGCTTGTATTGACGAAAATGCGATAGAAAACCCCTATTTCTGATGGTGTGTGCGACATTGAGATGTAAACGTCCGCCGCTAGAAATTATAGTCCTAAAATTCAAACATTGTGTGGCGTATTAAAACCAAATAGAGCCTTTAGAGGATCAGAATTTCAATCATACTGATAGCGATGACAATTACCCGGCTATGACTATGGTGCCGAATGTGCCCCATCAAATGCCGAAGCTACCCCGGGTTGGGGCACATTCGGCGAATTTGACTGTAAAGTTTTTTAACTAATACTATTTTGCATATCTTTTTGGTAATATTTTTTATAATTAAGTGTCAGAGGACAATAATCAGTCATAAAGTTGTTATATATGTTCAATAAGTACTGAGATATAGACCTCTAAAAAAAGTGCCGAAGGTGCCCCAGTCTCCCCTACCACAAAACGAACTTTTTGACCTCCAAATATTATTTAAAAATTACCCGATCCTTGCTCGGAAAACTTTATATTTACGACACTAATAAATTTCAAATAAATTGCAGTATAAGTACCTGGTACGAGAAGAAATGGACCGATAAACCCGGTCTTTGCAATTTTTCTAAACATAGGTAAAAGTATGTTTAGAAAAATTGCAAAGTTTATATTAAATCGGACACTCAATTCGACACTTTGTAGGGGAGGTGCCAGAATGGTAGGACCGATTGACCCCATCTACAGACCTGATCTAGATGTGCTAAAAATATTACGATGTAAAAGGATTGGATGAAATACTAGGAGTAGTGAACCCATGTTTCTCATCTCCCAACTCAATCCAAGTTTTGAAGAAATATTATTATGTGCAAAGTTTTAATGGATTTCTTTACTCCCTTCGAAAGCCAGACATACTCGAAATTGTCTAAAGAAACATGGGGTCTAAAGCCAATTCCTCAATGAGGAATATTTTTGGACTTAGGCTGAGGGTGTAAACATGAGATTATATGCGAAAGGACCTTTGAAATGTTGACTGTAACATTTTGGGAATTTACTGTGATCTGAAAAAAAGTACAATTGTGGAATAACTGATTTAACAAAGGCCGTGATGATGTCAATGACGATTCCCGTCCTGATCGCCCCAGAAGCTCAATAACCAACCAATTAAATAATTGATGTAGCAAAGAGAACGATGTTGGAGAGTCGTCGAATCACTGACAGAGGTTTCTGACATGTGGTCCGAATCCTGCCAAGTTATTTTTACGGATTTTTCAGGCATGAATTGTACCGGCAGCGAAGGTGATTCCAAGATTGCATTTGGGCTGTAAATCGTTCATGAGCTGGTAAATGGCCTCGAAATGGTCATAATTGGAGACGTATCAGTGGTGTAAGACTATAAAAGGGCAAAGAAGCACATAAAGCTTGATAAAATGTGAAGATTTTGCTAGAATTGTCTTCGACTATAATGGGGCGTAATTCTTGCCACTAGGTCGTGCGCATAGATTTGTGTTAAAAGTAATCATAGATTTTTCACTATAATAACCTATCAGCTTACACAATGGATGCAAATAACTCCCCCACCATATTCAACGGAAGTGGAAAATGTTTGCCGGTGGACTTTTTCCACTTCCTAAACCCCAAAACATC